TGGCGTTGAAATTGGAAAAGTTACCCAGAATGCTTTGCGAAACGCTTTTTCCGGTTCCGCAGAATCCATAGTCTTTTGAGGAGAGGAGATCGTGTAGGTGAGTGACAAATGCTAGTTGGTGGATGTTTAAAATCTGTTTGCATCGGCGTATTTCATTCCCTTTGGATATATTTTCTTTTAGATACGATTAGGAGAAGAGTTCTCTTTGAGATCAATAATGGCTCGGACACAAGATGCAAAGCCTAAGGAGACAAAACCCAAAACTGCCGAGGTAGGTTTAATCGCGTTTTAACTTGTTGCAGTGCACATGTTGACTGGGATTCAACTTGTGTAATATTTTATTGTTGCAATATGTAATTTAATTCTTTACTTCGAAGACGCCTAAAGAGAAGAAACCTAAGAAAGCTCCGAAGCCGAAGAAGGAAGTGAAAGATAAAACGAAGAACCCCATGCGTGAAGTTAGAATTCGCAAGCTCTGCCTCAATATTTGTGTTGGAGAGTCAGGCGACAGGCTTACCCGCGCAGCAAAGGTAAGGTCGTATATATTGTTTTTATATATACAGAGTATATATCTTGTATGATCATAAACATTTTCTGACATTTTAATTTAAATCGGTCTTGCCTGGTTTGAACTTGATTCTCTACTGAAACGTTTATTAGTGTGGCAAAAGATTTTGATACACTGCGTACTGTATGGTCAGTTGAGATCTGAAGTTCAAATTGTATATCTTGGTTAAAATTTCTTAACACCTGTAAAACCTCAAAATTATTGCAAAGTGCTAATTGAAATGTATTTCGAAGTATAAATTTTCCTCGTCATAAAAGTTTGTACTAAACAAGGGAACTGAATCTTTCATCTAGTGAACTGGTGTACACATAACAGAAATGATCCCAGGAGTGTTGATGAAAACATGGTGTAGGAGTCTTCAATAAGTACTGAATTTGAATCAATATCTTACTAACCTTAATTACCTACTAATCAGAGTTCAGATGTTTTTTTTACATTAGAACAATTGTACTTTTAGTGATCTATTGTCCAAAAGACAATACCTTAGAACAGAAACTAATTGACTTCTCCTTTGTGAAGTGGAATGCTGAATTTGAAAGGCACTAGCTGAATCAGTTGGAACACACCGGTTCCCGTAAGATCACCGAAGTGGTTGCCCAGCAGTATGTCAGCTAGTGTTGTCCTAAGGTGGTGTTAAATTTACGTCTAATATCGTTTGATCTTTGGGGTGTTATTTGTGTAAGTGGTGAAATTTCTTTTTTTAGGTGCTGGAACAGTTAACTGGACAACAGCCGGTCTTCTCAAAAGCTAGGTATACTGTGCGCTCTTTTGGTATCCGACGTAATGAGAAGATTGCAGTACATTGCACTGTACGGGGCGCAAAGGCTGAAGAAATCCTTGAGCGAGGATTGAAGGTAGGTGTTTTACTGTGTTTATTATTGTTAAATTAGTATGGTTTGCTCTTAAGGCCCCTACTGATTGTTAGTGGAACTTGCTTCTTTGTTGTGAACTGAACATCTCAATGAATGTAGTTGCCTGCGAATTTTGTGTCTGGGGAGGCGGGGGGGCTGCTACATGGGTAAAAACTGCATTCACCTAACGAAAATTGCATTACTTTGAGATGTAATGTTGCTTTTCCTCAAATGGAACTAACCACTGATATTACTTCTGCCTGGATATTTTTCGTATGTTACTTGCAACTAAAATCTTGCACAGAGGTACCTAGTAAAATTGCTAATATATTAGCGTTGTTTGCCCAGTCATTGTGTGCTATAGTAATTCTCTTTCCTGTCCTTGTCATTGTTGGCAGAGGTTAAAGACAGGGGGGTATATAGATAATTTATTATTTTGACAGTTTAAACAAGCTTCCATGTAGTTTGAATGAAATAGCAATAACATTAACTGATTAAGGAACTTGTATTAAATAATATTCAGTATATTTTTTGAAATATTACATTAGAAAGTAAAAACTTCTGACCTAATGTCTTCCAGGAAAAAAAATGATTAAACCCCCACCTTAGGGGTCCTCGGATGCTGGCATAAAAGTTCCTTTACTTGCAGTGAAAATTAATGCATAAGCTGTATGGGGGTAGTCTATTAAATTCAGGTCTCGGTGTTCTGTGCCCCAACACATCACAAGAACATATAGCATATTACGCCAGTTCAAGTAGCCTCAACAGATGTTGGTGTCTATCTGCTGAACTTTCCGGAACTGGTTACGAGACACGTGTAAACTCTCAGGAGACATGATGTCACAAGATATTTTTGAAGTCTCTGCAAGAGAGCAGTGTAAAGCCTCTAGTTTTGATGAGGAACCGTATCTCCTGGGAGATAAAATAGTATTCAAAGACAGTTGGAAGACTTTTTGCTCTCTTGCATGTGTTCACGTGCTCGATTACCCATTCTGCGTCTGTCTGTCTGTGCGGCGTTGCAACATGATCGGTGGATTGCTGTTCTTAGTGGGAAATTATATACTGGGGAATTATAAATACAAATGACGTATGTATCTCCTGTGGCCAAAAACTGCCGTACCGTTAAACTAGGTCTCTCTACAAAATAAATTACTTTCTTCTTTTCTTGCTTTTTGATTGCGCGAGATATTTCCTAATAAAAAGTCAAATCCTTCTGAAGTTATGAAGTTTTTGTACATGAAATCATTATCGTTTATAATATTTTTATTACATCTTTCAATAAATTAAAACATTAAATTACGGTTCAATAGTAAAAAATTGTTATATAAAACCATAATTAGGTCTTCTTTCATATGCCTGACCTAGGTGTGATGTCTCTTCTACCAAAATTAACAAATTTCAAATAATTCAAAATAATCTCCCTTGCAACATTTTATATCTTTCCTAGTTTATATCATAACGCAAATTTACAGGGAACTTCAAATCGATTCTTTCAAATCTTTTATTCTTAACTTCATTAAATGTTTCTTAAACATTGTCAACTTCACCCATTTTTCAAAACTTTACATTTAGGTCAAAACTATTTTCATCGTTCTGGACTCCAACCACGTTTTCTAAAAAATATTTTTAATCGTCCGTAAATTAAAACTTGTTTTATTTTATTGTCTCTGAAAAATGTAATGCTATTGAATAGGTAGCAAATAAATATTTTTTTAAACAAATCCTCTTCCTGCAATTTTGCCATGAAAGTTTTATAGATACTCAGTCCTTCTTTTCTCAAGAAAACAAAATCACACACACTTGTCTCTTTCTTTTCCTCCGCTTCTTCAAAATTGTGAATGAGGCACAGGCAGTTGCAACAGTTGTCACATACTAACCTCAAACTGCTCGCCGCTGCTTATTCAAGATGGCTGCGCCAGAGAACATCGAGAGACATTTGTATCAAGTGTAAACAGCATGGAGATACTTTTCTGGAGATATCTCAGGAATCGTTTTTTAACTATTTTGTAATTTGAGTCTGTTATAGACCTTAATTTATTCATATACACATGCACAAACACGCATGTATATATAATATAATATTTGTTAAAATTCAACTACAGTATATTTAAAATACTGAAGTTGTTTATATGGTGACAGTTTTCTTTACTTGCTAGGTATTTGCAAGTGATCATGATGATGAACATCTTACATTCGCGGTTTCCACCACGATTATTCATGATGGTTAGAATGTGTCTGAATCACTTGCGATGATGTGAAGGTATAAATATCTGTAATAATAATATTGGTCTTTGCTTCATACTTTTTGTGAAAAATAAGATGTCCAAAATATTTTATTGAGTAGTGTCTACACTTGCAGTAAAATTAATGGGAGATGCACTGAAATAAGTGTGAACCTGTCCAATGAGCAATAGATATTACATGTACTCTGTATGTTACACTCCGAAGCCGTATACACCAATACATTTCTTTCCTTGCTTTATTTGCAAGTGATAATGATGATAAACTTCTTACATTCGCGGTTTCCACCAAGATTATTCATGATGGTTGGAATGTGTCTGAATCACTTGCAATGTTACACTACTTGTTGACTTGTTGGAAAAATAAATAAAGCTGACAAATGAGTATCAGGCTAGTTTTGATATTTTCTTAGTATGTAATTAAAAATTTTATAAGGAAAGGAATAGAAAAAAGTTCACAGGAAAACTAGGAAATTTGTATCTGGAAATGAGTGTCCCCTGGAGACTAACAATATGGCCATGTGATTGGAGCGTGCATCCTCTTAAGACTGGCTCAGGTCTCTGGTCACTGAGGTTATGGGCTCTAAACCTGGGTAAAGCATGAATGTTTTATGGGGGGAGGGGGCATTGAATGTCCCTCCTGTATTACATTTGAATCCTAAATTCTCTTGGCCTGACAGGTAATTGTGGACTGATTAATGTAATAACGGATGGACTGAGAAACCAGATATTTATGTACATAGGTAAAAATTGGTGGAATAAAAATAATAATTATTTCTGTGGGAATACTTGTTTGCTTTTGAATGCTTGTGCTTTCTCCTCCTGTGATGGAAAAACGGTGCTCTTCTTCAAACTGAAGTGGCATGCAGAGTGAAGAGGCATTAGAGATCTTAGCCTCGAGTACTTTTTTCTAGTGCTGTGAATTTTTTTAATGCCTTTCAAGACAAGTCTTGATGTTGGCATGACTGGTCTTGCATTCTACATCCATGCATTTGAAGGACACAAGTTAATGAATTATTTCGTTGCATCAAATTGCTTACTCCATTGGAAATAATTGATATGATTGTGAACAAGAACAACCTGGACAAGAAATGACAGTTGCACACAGGTACCTAGCAATGTTGCTAATACATTAGCTTCTTTTGCCCAGTCGGTGTGTGCTACAGTAATTCTTCATTTCCTTTCCTTGTTATTGTTGACAGAGGAGAAGGATGTGGAGAGACAAATTATTTTCTCAGTGTTTTGGTAAAATTTGATGTTGTGCAAATGTGGTTGCCACTTACTGGAAAGTCAAGGAATTCCATTGTTCAAGAGTAGTTGGAGTAGGAAATTCGTGGAAACTAGATATTAGTGAAAATAGTTTAATTATTATTAAAGAGGCCATTATTCCTTAAAACACAGTAGTTAATTTTTGGCACAATTTTAAGTTTTGAAGAAAGTTAGTCGGTCTTTTTATGGCCATTGTACAGCAGTGAAACATTTGTAAAGGGTACCAATGTCTTACTTTTAACTTTACCTTGGAATTATGTGATACTCCACAAATTGTCAGACAAAAATTGATGTATGATGATTTTGGGGCTGTGTAAAATGTAACCTGCCATCACTCTTATGAGTAGATATGTTGATCTAAATTCAGAAGTGCAGTTATGATGTACCATCGTTGGGACAGTTAATATGGCCACTACTGCCAATATATGGTATGTACAGCTAGGTATAGTTTCTTAGATCTTGTGGAATGAGAGGAATTAAATTCTTAAATGTCCAGCATAAGTAATACCTTGTGATTGTAACAAAAGCACACATGGAAGATTAGATTGGATGATAAGCTTGGTAATCAGCCCTGTGCAACTGTTGTGACCATGGTCTAACCGTTACAATGTTTCCCCAACTACAATCGCAAGTTAATTTTTTTTGGCTTGCAGGCATAGATTATATAATCATCGCGAAGTGTTTTTTGTGACATCATTTCTCTCCTTGAGTATTTCCATCAATACAAACTGAATCCTGTAGATGACTGACATAGAATTAAATATTTTAAGATCTTCATTTAAATGCTGCAATTCACTGTTGGTACAGCCCTCCTATTCTCAACCAATTTTCAGATGGGTGATTCGTCTTCACATTTTTGTCAATTTATTGCCCTTTTCTTTGTGGTATTGGCTCATAATAGAAAAAAAATGTTAGAGGTATGCAAGTCTTTAATAGTTTTTATGCGGTGTTAAAGACTTATTGATGTTTAATATTTGTTGCAGGTCCGTGAATACGAATTGAGAAAAGACAATTTCTCAGACACTGGCAATTTTGGATTTGGTATTCAGGAGCACATTGATTTAGGTATCAAATACGACCCAAGTATTGGTATCTATGGTTTGGACTTCTACGTTGTTCTTGGAAGGCCAGGTAATTAAAACACCAATATTTGCACATTGGATTCTAAACATAGCAGAAGTAACCATGTTTAGCAAAAAATGTGCTAGAGTACCATCATCTTTTGAAAATGCATGATCAAGAAATTGGTTGTGTTCCTGGAAGGTGGCACAGTTGTCCTAGATTGTGCATTGAATGTATTGAATAATGTTTTAAAAGAACACACGGGATTACAAGTGCAAAACATTTTTTGTATTTTGCTTTCTGCTTTAAATGAAGTTTTTATTTCAAAGAAAGTCCTTGATTATTAGCCTAATGTTAATTCATGCTATTTATTAATAATTGCAAAATCATTCCTTTAATGTTCAAGATAGTAAATGTGTGCATTATTTTAAAATATTAAATTCTTTCAAGAATAAAAGTGACTTCCCATTTTGCAAATTGTGTAGCATGCATTCTTGGCTCAGATAAACAATGATTACTAATTTTGTTTTTTTGTATAATATTTGCAACCTCACGATTACTCGTTTATTCATTGTAGTAATATGTAGAGCAGAACGTAGTTCTCTTACTAAGTAGGAGTCTCGGGAATAATATGGATCTGAGTCTATGGAAATAATCTGGAAATACAGAATTACATATGTGAATTCTATTAAAATTCATTCTCACATTAACATTTTCAGAAATGATTTATACAATATGAATTTGTTCGCAAAATTTATTTAACTTTTTAACAAAATTGAAGGGAGGAGTGTTTCTACCTTCTACCATGCACAACCCCCCCCCCACACACACACACACACACACACACACACACATAGTATATCACACAGTTTTAAGAGTTTTTGATGTTTCAAAACTGCCAATACTTTTCAATACTACTTGGATTAACGGTTAACATTCATAATGCCTAACAAGACTAATGACGAAAGATGTCAGTCAGTTTATGCATATGCTGGATTTGCTGAGACAATTTTAAAAGTTATTAACCCTTTGACTGCTAAATGTATGCCTATAGCGAGTCACACTGTGTGTGCAATAGCTGTGGCAGTCACCACCGGTTGTCGTGCTCAGCATTGTTGATCTTGGAATCAGATTGTGGGGCAAATGCATTCCTGGCCAATGCAGACTTGGAGAAAACTTTGAACAACTCGTTTAGTTAAGTGTGTAACAAAAGACGAAAGAAATAGTTAGGTAGGATGTAATGGAACTTACACGTTTTGCAGGATTGGAAAGTAAACAGTGGTGGGAAAGTGTCAATATGACCATTAATTTCTTTTTGAGAGTCCGTCTCCAGTGAGAGGGAGACTACCTGTTCCTGTTTGAAGCGCTCTGTAGGAATACATATTGAATTTCAGTAACCAACTTCGGTTGTTTCTACAAAAATGGGCCCTGACCCAGGCAACAAATGAAATCTTTTCTTTGTAACAAATGAACCATGAACTGACTTGTAGAAATGCCAGTCTAGCGATCCATAACGACAGCAAAATATCAAATTCAGGTGCTAAAACGGAATAATACAGCTAAAATGATCTCGGAATTCATTTAGTCCCACAAAAATTGTATTATAAGAACGAAAATGGTCTTGAATCTGTTCTTGTCCAAAGGCTCCCAGTGAGTCGCTGACATCATGAGGCCCTAGAGAATGGAAAATTTCCATGTGTCGAACACATCCAGAGCAGTCAAAGGGTTAAAAAGAAAGATCTGTGAATTCTTTCAGTAATATATTCAATACTTAATTTTTTTGTTGTTCAAATGTTCACAGGATTCAATGTAGCCCATAGGCGAAGAAAGACTGGTGTCGTTGGTGCTCAGCACAGGCTCACTAAGGAAGATGCAATGAAGTGGTTCCAGCAAAAGGTGAGGTGTTGAGATAGAGAGAAACATTCAGAACTGTTTCTGTGTTTCTGTTTGTACTAATAATTTTTGTTTTTGCAGTATGATGGTGTTGTCATGGCCAGCAAGAAGAATTAAATTCCTTTTGTATGAGGGGGAATTCTAATAAAATATTGAAAGCCAGTGGTATGTCTTTTATTGTATGGCCATCCTAACTTTGTGATATCTAGTTAGTACAGCATCAAGTTTGTCATAATTGGATTTTCTTATTATAAATATGAGGGTATAGCATACATTAATTTGGAGATTCTTCTATTCTTCAAAATTATTTCAGAAATGTGAATAAAAATTACTTAGGAATTTAGTGGATCCATTGCATTATAGTTTGGTGGGGATTAATTGTACTTTTATTCTTCCAAAAAGCACAGCAACCTCAGATTAAAGTTTGTCACAAGTTTTTCTTACATTTTTGCTTATTATTTGGCTAACTCAAGACCAAATCTAGTTTCTCAATGATATCAATTTTCGGAATATGTCAAACCGTTCATACTGCTTGTTGGACATTTAAAGCAGTATATCTTTTTATCATTAACATTCCTTTGATTTATTGTTATGCGTTTCTTTTCCTTTATGAAGTCTGTAAGAATGAGACTGGAGTGCAGCAGTGGGGATACATATAAAATTCATTGGCAAGTAATTGCACTACCACATTTAGTGGCATCATGTGGGGAAATAAGGAATTTCTCTTTGTTCAGCAAATAACATTGCATGTACTAGTTCAATGTCATCTTCACATTGGTTTGAAGTGAAAATTCTGTTAACTTGATCACTGAGCTGGATATCCATTAAAGATTCATCCATTGACAGTGCAACATTGCCAAACTTAGAGTATGATTAGCTGCTGACACTTAATCTCCCCTCACACACGCACACATTGTCAAGTCTTCTTGTTTCTTCTTTCTCTGTTCTGGTTTGATTAGTGCAGTGCTTTTGGTTGTATGGTTTGATTAAAATGTTTAAGAAAGGAATGGTTACTACTAGAGTGAATGAAATGTGGGAACTTCAGTAATTTGATGTGTTAAATATTTTTTTGTTCAGAAACTAATTGGAAAGCTTCAAACATCTTCCGTAAATAACACTCAAGATTTTGCATAATTCTTGATTTGTAATTTAAATATTTTTAACATTCACAAGCACTTTCTTTTTATTTTCTTCTTGTACCTTGTTTCAATTCTCTAACTACTTTGCCTGCATTCAGTTTTTGCTGAGCAAATTACTGTACACTAAACATGCAGTGACTACTGTGGATTTAATGATTAATTGAATGTGGTGTATTACATAATTTAATATAATTTATAGAATACCTTCTTGGGAACTTCTGCAGTTAGTATGTATATCTTAAGAATTGTGAAATGTTAATTTTGCCGGTGGATCCAGTCCATACTCTAGACCAATCTTGCTATCCAGGAATGTACCACACTGTTTTTTATTCTGTGAACCTTATCCTATCAGCTAATTCTGACTAGAGGAAATGGCCAAGAGTTTGATTCTCCCATCTACAAAGATGGACCAATTTATTTGGACATTTGGCTCAACCCTAGTCTACAAGCCCCAACATGCTGAGTCTGGTTTTAGACAGTCTGCAGCTAATGTTTGTTTGATCCCTGAAAGTAGTATGTGTAAATGACATAATTATCAAAATACTATAACATTTTTTTTTTTTATTGAAGAAATATCTTGTAAATATATATGAAACTAGTCATTGACAGCTCGAGTTGAAAAATCCACACCTTACCGCCCAGTGGCTGTATTACTGTTCTATGACACTTTGATACCCTTGCGTGGCCTTGAGCAACAAGTATCTGGCTGCAGGCATATGATTTTCTAAGTGTGAATAGAAGCAATGTCTGTTTTCCGCTCAGTCATGAGAGAGAATTCTCGAACAGCTGATCTTGCAGCTGAAGCCCCTCTCCTATGTCCAGATGTCACGACCGAATTGAGTGTTGCTGAGATAGAGTATTTAAAACTGGATTACAGATGCGTCCATTTCATTAAGAACATCTCGTGTGTCTCTGCCAATGGCATTAAATTCACAGGAATTCTGTTTTATGAGGATTTTTCCCCCTGCGGGATGTGAAAACCCATTCCTTTTTTATATTGGAGAGGTTCCTTTTAATACTGTATATAGAATGCCATTTAACTTCAGGGGCTGGAGGAATTTTTCAGTTAAAGCAGGTTTCCGGCTTGTACAGGGTCTTGTTTAGATAGGTTTTGCTGTATTAAAAACATTTACTTTCTTCGATAGGGTCTATCTCAAAAGAATTGGATTTGGTCATTTTGTTCAGTATGTTTCAATCGATAGCAGAAACGAATGAAACTAATTGCATGTCTGAGTGTATCTTGTCCATGATGGTCCAGTTGGCCACGGACAGTTTAGATATTTAAATGCCAGAAATAGCAAGGGTATATAAATGCTAAAATCCAGCAAATGACACATAATCTTAGTAAATACAAAACATTTTATTTTCAGAACCGTACTATCCACTCGAAACACAGATTCTCCAACATGTGTATTGGATTATTCTTTACTATAAATAGTAACTAAAAAGTAATTTAAGTTCAACAAAAAAAAATATCGTGACTTAAATGAATTTGTTTTCCAAAGCATTTTGAATTAACATTGAGAAATTCAAATAGTTGTAAATTACATTTCCTCCTAAAAGGGCCAGTATGTAGATACTGTAAGAAGTCAAAAATAAAATTTTACAAAATCCTAAAGGGGGGTGAAGTAATATTTATTTTTCAATTCAGCTCCAGGACCCAAGGATTATTTATGGGAGAATTATGCAGCTTGCATCCTTCAAGTGTTGAGATCTGACGCTAGCCTCAAAATTGTAAGATTTTTAAGTTGTTTGGCCATGGAGGGGCAGCACAGTGGTGGTGAATTGGAAGTTGGTAGAGATTGTATAAGACAAGGTTCGAGTGGTTGGGAACAAAACCTTGTTCCCTTGCTAGCCTGTTATTGTTATGCAATGTTTTTATTGCAAGTCCCAAAGGCCACTGTCTGATACATTTTTTAAAAACATTTGCATTTGACACATTCAAGGGTGTTTTAAAACAATTGCTTGGACAAGAGCCATGAAATTTGACACTCGCTATGAGTTGCTGGGCCTGCCCACTCAAAAATGTATGGTTTCTGAATATACCTTTTTTTAGTGGGCATTCATTGTACTTGCACTAGTTCTGTTAAGCCATTGTAATTACACCAGTTCTGTTATGTTGGCTCAATTAATTCCCAATTTTTAAATCCATGAGTTTGATACTGCGATGAAAGTGATTCCTGGAAGGTAAATTTTCCCTAGGGCCTGTCCATAAATTACAAATTGGGGACATTTTTGAATATCCCCACCCACTGTAACGCACCTGTAATACTTGCTTGAACTCTCCTAAATAACACAACGCTTGCAAATGTACTGCCCCTCCCTCCTCACCTGACATTTACAAAAAGTAAAAATAATTCTGTGACAAAACAATTAGTATTAATTTTGTGTTGTATATTAAAATTAGAATTTGTCGGAAGTAATTGGCAATACTGACTTCTCCTGACATGTTTGGGGGACAACTTCGTGACAGAAGGAAGCAATGGCAAGATAATTTGACACTACTGCATGTCATGGGCACATGGGTGACAATTTACTGTGTGTATTTCATTATATTCTTAAATGTACTGTAGGTTATTATGATTATTTTCTTCGTAATCTGATCCAATTAATATACCATTGGTTAAAATACATTTTCAATTGTAAATATTTGTTTTGTAATTTAATAGATTTCAAAATATAGTTTTAATGTTTTAGTGTAAGACTGATCAAAAAGAATAATTTTAGCAAATGTTAAAAAAAAACTAACAATATCTGTGGTAAAGCTTAACTAAAGCCCCTACTCAATGAAATGCTTCTTCAAACTCCCCTCTTACTTAGTTGATGGATGATCCCCTAGAATCTGATGTATATGATAGCAAAAAGTTAAGTATTCTGAAGTTTCATTCAGTTTATTTATGTTTATTTATAAAGTAAATATTTTCAATGCACACAACTATGCTGTATCATAAGTTGTGATGCAGCATTGTTAATGTGTGCAATAGCACATTTTCCTTTTTGAAAAGCATGGCAGAAAATCTCTGGTGTGTTACTTGGGGGAAAGACAAGTTTCCGTACCAATTTATTTTTAATTTATAATTACTGAATTTGGAGGCCATGCCTCTACCTGCGCATCTTGTGATGTAGCTATTGTATAATTCAAATTTGCAATAGGAAAACTTTTCTTCGCAGTATTATGTGGTTTGTGGGAGAGAGACAAAATTCACAATTGTTTTGTGAATTACACATTTCCTTGCCTATTTAATTTTCGTGCACACAATTTTCGGCAGTATCATTACTATGATCTGGCTTTGCCCAAGTGTGCAACATTAAATTTTCCTGCTTAAAAGCCATGCCAAAGCATTGTTTTATGGTGTGTTACTCGGCGGGAAGATAAGTATTAATGGCTATATCATTATCAATTTATTTCAAGTTCTGTGAAGAGAACCAATTTCTCATACTCACTGGTTTTCTGCTGTATCATCTTGCTATGCTCAATTGTGCAATACATTCGCTTTTTTGGAAAACATGGAAGAAAGGCAATTAAGGAAATTTAAATGATTCTTCCTTAGGAACTAATATTTTTAAATTAAATAATTTTAGAGCACACATTTTTCTGCTGTTTCATTAGTTGTGATCTAGCTAAGCCCAAGTGTGCAATATGAAACTTTTCTGCTCAAAAGCCATACCAATTAATAAATTTGTTATGGTGTGGTACTCGGCGGAAATACAATACAAAGATCTAAATGTTGGGAATATACTTTTTCCTTTTAATGATAATCAAGATATTACAGCAATATTGACTTACTTGGAATTATTTAGTGATACTGAATAAGAATTAGTGTGATTTGCTTTGGGTCGCAGTTGAATGGTATACTTAATTTATACAGTGGCCCTTTATGTCACGAGAATAATAGTGAGCCAGTCATCCAATTGGGCGCTTAGTTACGACTGCCTGCTCTGGACCTTGAATTGCAACCACATTTAAACTATTTTTGTCCAGTTTCCACACGAACTCTGTTAATAATAAACTTTGGAAAGAAATATCTGCTTGGCAACTCTATTCATCTGACTTATAAATTAGCTGCAGGTTCTTTCTGTAATACTTCGTGTCTACCCGGTGATTTTTGTTTTTTTGGGTTTTATTTATTTTCTTGCAAATCTTTTAAGTATAATCATGCCCTGGCCCTGTGAACCTAAAATCGTTATGTATATGTAATCACAGAAATGCCTTTCTGCGCCT